AGGAATCGAGGTTGTTGAGGGATGTAACGATTCACTAACAAATGCGATAGTTATAAAACAATCACAGTATATTTACAAGACGTAGACTATATACAAAAAGTGAAGATAGATAATGTAAGGAGTAGGTGTTCACTCCTGAGTATTCGGCGGTCAGTGCCGGACTGAGTATAATATTCGCAAAAGGCGAGAATTCGGATACGAGTACAATAGGCGCGAGTGAGAAGTACACATTGGACGGTTGAGTGACAGAGAGCGATGATGTCACTGATGTCCAGTCGTCTCAACTGCACGCGTTGTTTTGTCCGTGTATTGACACGTCAGTGTGGATGTAGGGAGGCGCTGCACCCTCTCCTGTACAACCGAGCATCTAATTCTCAAGGTGAGCCATCAGGTGAACAATTTTGCACTCGCACTTGATTCCTTCATATTTTTTTCTCACAAGCTGCATGAGGGTCAATAGGGTCACTAATTTTTAAGATATGAAGAGCTGAACCCACTCTACGCTTTCTTGCAGTACACACCCAAATTTCAAAGTGAACTGTTAGGGTCAGAAAGCTCAGTGTTTTCGACATTCCCTCCCCCCCTCCACTCCGTGCGGCCATGCATCTAATTCCAAAATGAATCAGAAGGGTCAGAAAGGTCACAAAAAAATCCCCCCCCCCCCATCACACTTTCAACAATCCGATTCAGTCAGAAAGGTCAAGAAAAAATTCCCACACCCCTTTCGGACTGCCCACAATGCGATTAAGGGTCAAAAGGGTCAGGAACAATACCTAACCCCTCAATGCAGCGTTACCAAAAAAACAAAAATTCACCCCGCCACCCGTTTCTCGTACCCACCACAAACCGATTTGGGGTCAGAAGAGTCCGGGAAAAGGGTTAAAAAAAATTTCCCTCGCTCCTCAGATCCGCCACAATCCGATTTGGGGTCTGAAGGGTCTGAAAAAAAATCCCCTTTCCCCCTTTGGACTTACCGCACTGCGATTGAGGGTCAGCAGGGGAACAAAAAACTCCTGATCGCACCCTCAACTATCCGATTTAGGGTCACAAGGGTAAAAAAAATATTCCCTCCCCCTTGGACTTCCTACAATGTGATTAACAATCAGAAGGGTAAAAAAAATCGCCCTTCCACTCCCATCGCACCATCAACTATCCGATTTAAGGTCAGATGGGTCAGAAAAAAATTCCCAGCACCCCTTGGGGACTTTACAATCCGATTTAGGGTCTGAAGGGTCAGAAAAAAAGCCCCCCCCCCCCGCACACTTCGCAATTCGATTTAGGGTCAGATGGTTCAGGAAAAATCCCCCCCCCCTTAGACATCCCACAATGCAATTAAGGGTAACAGGACAGGAAAAAATCCCCTCCCCCGTTACATTCTCAACAAAGAATCCAAAATTCGCCCCTCCCCACAAGCGCACACTCAACTATCCGATTTAGGGTCACAAGGGTCATAAAAAAAATCCCCTCACCCTTCGGATCCGCCGCTATCCGATTTGGGGTCTGAAAACTCGGGAAAACAAGGCCCCCGCCCCTTGCACCTTCGGAATTTGATTTAGGGTTTGAAGGGTCAGAAAAAACAACCCCCCCGCGCCTTGGACTTCCCGTAATGCGGTTAAGGGTCAGAAGGGTAAAAAAAATCTCCCCATCACACCCTCAATTCGCGATCGCAACGTAGATGTGGGAGCCACCAAGTGGTCTCTAAACTAACTACTCTTGGGGGGCAACCACTGAGATCCCTCGGAGGGAGCCAATGATGGAGCTCAACAAATGAGATTAAAGAGAATCCAATGATCTCATTGGTTGCCCGCCAAGAGTAGTTAGTGGAGAGATCACTTGGTGGCTCCCACATCTCCGTTGCGATCGCGAATAATACGATTTAGGTTCACAAGGGACAAAAAAAATTCCCCTTCCCCTTGGACTTGCCACAATACGATTAAGGGTCAGAAAAGTAAAAAAAAATTCCTAACCCCATCAAAACTATAACAGTCCGATTTAGGGCCAGATGAGTCAGAAAAAAATTCCCCTCACCCCTTGGATGTTTCACAATTAGATTTGGGGTCTGAAGGGTCAGAAAAAAGCCCCCCCCCTGCTCGGAGGCATTGTTATTCGATTTAGGGTCAGAAGGGTCGGAAAAAAATTTCCCCCCACGCTTGGACTTCCCACAATGCGATTTAGGCCCGGTTACACCATCGTCTGTTAACTAAACCGCCAGATAACGGTCTGTTAGTCCATAAGGATTACACATGGATAAATTTATCCTGGGGTAAAAATAGCTAACAGGGCTCGGTGCAACCGGGCCTTAGGGTGAGAAGAGTCAAAAAAAAATT